TGTAGTGTTGTGTAAAATAGTGTGGTGTATTGGAGTGCCTTGGCCATCCATTGTATAATCTTGGACACCGGTGTACTTAATTTCTCTGTAGCTCAGCCTCCTCATGTAAAATGGAAATTATAATAATAATACCTACTTCCAAAGGTTCTTATGAGAATTAAATGAGTTAATTTATGCATGATATATAGTGAGCCTTCTGTAAAGGTTACCTGGTATTATTGTTTTCCTAACTTTTGGAACTGTAGACCTTGGACTCAAACTATGTGTCTCATTGAGCTCCACTAGCCATTAATCATGTGACTTTCACAAAGTCACCCAATCTGAACCTCAATTTTCTCATCTATTGTGAGAAATAAAAGGGATAATATTCTTGGCACATGGCAAACACTCAATGAATGCTAACGGGCCGGGCATGGTGGCTAATGCCTGTAACCTAGAACTTTGGGAGGCCAAGGTGGGCAGATCATATGAGGTCAGGAGTTCGAGACCAGCCTGGCCAACATGGCAAAACCTCGTCTCTCTCTATTAAAAATATAAAAATTAGCCGGGAGTGGTGGCGTGCTTCTGTAATCCCAGCTACTCAGGAAGCTGAGGCACAAAAATCGCTTGAACCCAGAGGCAAAGGTTGCAGTGAGCAGAGATCACGCCACTGCATTCCAGCTTGGGCAACAAAAAAAAAAAAAAAAAGCTAACAGATTATATTATTAGGAATATTACTAATATGCTGTCATAGTTTTAAAGTACAAAAAAGGAATAGAAGATACAAAATTTAATAATTTTATGTTCTTCCTATGTATAAATTCTTCCATTTTTATAACATCTAATTTTTGTGGATAGAGTTCTCAGACCCTCTTCTCTAGATGATGAGTCCCATACACCCTCAGGGCACTTTGAACAGCTCCTTCATGGGAGTAATTAATTAATTAGGCAGGTAGGCAATTTCTGGTTTATGTCTGTCTTCCTCAGGAGAATCTAAGCTCCAAGATGACAAAGATGGTGTCGGCTATGCCCAATATCTAGCACAAGGCCTGGCACTTTGTTGATTAACAAATATTTATGGAATGGATGAACAAGAAATGAAATAAACAAAAGCATTTTAACATGTACATTCTGAAATAACATAGTCATGATATTAAAAGTAAGTATTATTTCCTCCGTCTCTCCAAGAAGAGAGGAAGTGCCCATCTTGTAAGCTAAGAAGACAGTAAACATTCAGATTCTGGGGAGCTATTTTTGGCAGCTCTTCCTTAGGAGAATCACACTGCCTGAACCTGTCCCCAGGAATCCCTTCAGTTACAGCAGAGCTCTGGAAACCCAGTACTTTTCCAGAACCTCCTGGTCAGTAAAAGGAAAAGTACTCAGTCTCTCTAGATTATGTTCACACAGTGTATGTTAGCCCTTACTCTCTGACTCATGAAAGGGTAGGGAGCTTAAAACTGTCTTTCACTTCACAAATGAGGAAATGAGCCCAGAAAAGTGGATTGATTTTCCAAGCCTAACACTTGTTAATAATAGAGCTGGTGCAATTGGGAATAGGCTCATTCTTACATTTCTCTCTCTTTCTCAATACATCTGTACTACACATATATTTGATTTATTTAAATTACATTTATGAAAGATTTTTTATTACATTGGGGGAAAAGCCCTTGATGTGTTAAGCAACAGGAGCTGACTAGATTATATATATAATACCTATTCAATTATAAAATATATAATTATATGGAGAGCACATATGTGTATGTGTGTATGTATTTCTCAATTACTTATCTATGTAGAAAATGTGAAAAGGAGTATAAAAAGTGTTAACAGTGTTTACCTCTGGTTGGTGGGTCATAGTGTATTTTTATTTATGTTTTTCTGCATTAAAACTTTTGTTAATAAGCATGTAATATTTAATAACCAGAAATTTCAGTTTTTTAATTCCTGCTCTAATCGTTTTTAAACATTTTATTTCAGTCAGCTCTACCAGGTAAAGGGAGCATCAACCTAGGCTCCAAAGAAGTTCTACCAGTCATTTAACCTGATCTGTAAAATGGGTATAATTATAGCTACTTCCCAGAGCTCTTGTGTATTGGAATAATAAATAAGAAATTCCTTCATAACTCTAAAGCTTGTTAAAGATGTTAAGTGGTATTGTAATGATGATAATGTTCTGTGGCCTAAAAGAGGTGGGAAAACCCTTAGGATAGCAGGTATCTTTGTGCTAAGAAGTTTAGGTTGGGAAGGGAAAGAAGTCTAAGTGTCAGGAGAGAAGTAAGACCTTTTTTGCTCTTAAGAAAATCAGCTGGGTAGGTGGCTCACGCCTGTAATCCCAGTACCTTGGGAGGCCAAGGCGGGTGGATCACCTGAGGTCAGGAGTTCAAGATCAGCCTGGCCAACATGGTGAAACCCCATCTCTACTAAAAACACAAACATTTGCCAGGCATGGTGGCACACACCTGTAATCCCAGCTACTTGGGAGGCTGAGACAGGAGGATCGTTTGAACCCAGGAGGCGGAGGTTGCAGTGAGCCAAGATCGCACCACTGTACTCCAGCCTGGGTGACAGAGCATGACTCTGTCTCAAGGAAAAAAAAAAAGAAAGTAAAACAATCATATGGTTGACCCCAGTTCTCTCCTTCCCCTATACTTCCAATAAATCCCTCAATGTTCCCTCTTAAGATTAAACTTCCCTTCTGTCTCTTAAGTAGCCCATGCAAGAAGCAGCTTATAGTGGACAGGATCTAGTGTATTTTGAGACAATGGCATGTCACAAATGCCATGGAAAATGAGATTTCACACACAGGGATGATTTTTTACACTAAACAGAGGTGCCAAGGGTCGTATGTAAAATAACTCTTCCTTTTTAATTTATTAATTATTTTTAGAGACAAGGTTTCATGTTGTTGCCCAGGTTGGAGTGCAGTGATGCTATCATAGATCAATGCAGTTTCGAATTCCTGGGCTCAAGTGATCCCCTTGCTGCAGCCTCCCAAGTAGATGAAACTACAGGCATGTGTCACCATGCCTGGCTAAGTTTTTTAATTTTTAATTTTTTAGAGACTGGGTCTCCCTTCATTGTTCCGTCTGGTCTCTAACTCCTGGCCTCAAGAGATCGTCCCACTTCAGCCTACCAAGTAGCTGGGATTACTATATTTTAAAATGTAATACAGACTTACGATAAATTTACCCAAGAGAAATAAAAATTTACGTTCTCACAAAAACCATCACGCAAATGTTTATAGCCACTTTATTAATAATTGCTAAAAACTGGAAATAACTCAAATATTCCTTATTGAATGGATAAACAAACTGTCATACATCCATATAATGGAATGCTACTCAGCCATACAAAAGGATGAACTACTGAAAATCACAACAACAGATGAATCATAAATGCATTATGCTAACTTAGTAAAGGAATGGAGACTCAAAAAGGCTACAGACTGTATTCTCCATTTATATGATATTCCAGAAAAGAAAACTATAGGGGAGAACTGATCAGTAGTTTCCAGAAGATAAGACAGAGGGAGGGGTTGACTACAACAGGACAGTAAGAGAATTGGCAGGGTAGGGGGGGTGGTGATGGGATTACTTTTTATTGTGATGGTTACATGTATATGCATTTGTCAAAAGTCATAGAACAGTACACCAAAAAGTGAATTTTACTATATAAAGTTTAAAAATAAATGTATAAAAATAATATAGTCCCAGGGTAAATTCAAACAATACAAGGAATTTAATAAGAAACTCTCCCTCCTAGGTCTTTGTGATAATAGATCTATATTTTGGTTGCAGTGATGGTCACATACATCCATACATGTGATAAAATGATAGTGAACTATACACGCACACATTACACCAATATCAACTTCCTGCTTTTGATATTGTACTATCATTAAGATGTAACCGACCAGGCGCGGTGGCTCACACCTGTAATCCCAGCACTTTGGGAGGCCGAGGCATGCAGATACCTTAGGTCAGGAGTTCGAGACCCGCCTGGCCAATGTGGTGAAATCCCATCTCTACAAAAAAAAAAAAAAAATACAAAAATTAGCCAGGCATGGTGGCAAGCGCCTGTAATCCCAGCTACTGGAGGCTGAGGTAGGAGAATCGCTTGAACCTGGAAGGTGGAGGTTGCAGTGAGCTGAGATCCCACCACTGCACTTCAGCCTGGGCAACAAAAGTGAAACTTCGTCTCAAAATAAATAAATAAATTAATTAATTAATTAATTAAATAAAAGATGTAACCGGCGGGTCGTGGTGGCTCACGCCTGTAATCCCAACACTCTGGGAGGCCAAAGCAGATGGATCATCTGAAGTCAGGGGTTCGAGACCAGCTTGGTCAACAGGGTGAGACCCCATCTCTACTAAAAATACAAAAATTAGCTGGGCATGGTGGCGCACGCCTATAATCCCAGCTACTCAGGAGGCTGAGATAGGAGAATCGCTTGAACCCGGGAGGTGGAGATTGCAGTGAGCCAAGATTGTGTCACTGCACTCCACCCTGGGTAACAGAGCAAGACTCCGTCTCAAAATAAATAAATAAATAAATCTCATATAAATGTGTGTGTACAAATTTATACATAAATAATTTTAACACAAATGGTAGCATATTATAGTTGCTGTTCTGCACCTTACTTTGTTTCTACAATTACTTCAGAGATTTTTTTCCACATCACATATACAATGGATCCACCTCATTATTTTTTCTTGCCATATAGTATTCCATTGCACAGTGGTTTCATTTATTTCAACAGTTTCATATTGATGGACATTCGGATCTTAACTAAGAATTGAACTTAAATAATTCAGAAATTTTTACAATAATGAAAGGTCGGCTGGAGTTGAGGCTAAAAGTTTTCACATATTCAAGACTTGACTCCAGAATATTCTTTTGACCAGAAGGGGGAATGCAAGTGGCAGGAGAAGCAAAAAGCTGGGAAATTTCCCGGGCCAATGGGGAAGCAGTGGAGCCGGCAGGGAATTACTGCCGGGTAGGAGTTCGCAGAGGGGCACCTTACTTTTGGAGTAGGAGGCCGTCTTGCAAGCCGAGACTTTTCAGGCTGCAGCCCAGATATACCGAAGTGTGTATCGGCTACGCACAGTGTGGTGATGCCTGGCCACCTCCAGCCTCCCGCGGGGACCCCCTGCCCAGGCGGAGTCTGAATGCCCACCGCCACCAGCCCACGCGCGCAGTGGGCGTACACGTGGTGACCTGCCTGCGGCTGGGTTCCCGGCTCCGGCTCCTCCTCCCTCCAGCTCTCGCTCGGCTTTCTGCAGTATCACGTGCAGCAGCGCTGGTTGCAGGATGGCGGCGGCCGCGGCGGCGGCAGCAGCGGTGGGTGTCAGGCTCCGGGACTGCTGCAGCCGAGGCGCTGTGCTTCTGCTCTTCTTTTCCCTGTCTCCTCGGCCCCCGGCCGCCGCCGCCTGGCTGCTGGGCCTGCGGCCAGAGGACACTGCTGGAGGCCGCGTGTCCCTGGAAGGGGGCACCCTGCGCGCCGCCGAAGGCACCAGCTTCCTCCTGCGTGTCTATTTCCAGCCAGGACCGCCGGCGACCGCCGCACCGGTGCCCTCACCGACCCTCTCCTCGGGGGAAAATGGCACCGGCGACTGGGCTCCGCGGCTCGTGTTCATCGAGGAGCCCCCGGGCGGTAGCAGCGTGGCCCCTAGCGCGGTCCCCACGCGCCCCCCGGGACCGCAGCGCTGCCGGGAGCAGAGCGACTGGGCATCGGACGTGGAAGTCCTGGGGCCCTTGCGTCCCGGGGGCGTGGCAGGGTCGGCCCTGGTCCAGGTGCGAGTGCGGGAGCTGCGCAAGGGTGAGGCGGAGCGGGGCGGCGCGGGCGGTGGCGGGAAGCTCTTTTCGCTCTGCGCCTGGGATGGGCGCGCGTGGCACCACCACGGTGCCGCCGGCGGCTTCCTGCTGCGCGTCCGCCCGCGGTTGTACGGCCCAGGCGGGGACCTGCTGCCCCCTGCGTGGCTGCGGGCGCTCGGGGCGCTCCTGCTGCTAGCCTTGTCGGCCCTGTTCAGCGGCCTGCGCCTGAGCCTGCTGTCGCTGGACCCGGTGGAGTTACGGGTGCTGCGGAACAGCGGCTCGGCCGCCGAGCAGGAGCAGGCGCGCCGCGTGCAGGCCGTTCGCGGCAGGGGGACCCATCTGCTCTGCACGCTGCTCCTGGGCCAAGCCGGAGCCAACGCGGCCCTGGCTGGCTGGCTGTACGCCTCGCTGCCGCCGGGCGTCGGGGGCACCGGGGAAGACTACAGCGAAGAGGGGATCCACTTCCCTTGGCTGCCGGCGCTCGTGTGCACCGGCGCGGTATTCCTGGGCGCCGAAATCTGCCCCTACTCAGTGTGTTCGCGGCATGGGCTGGCCATCGCCTCGCACAGCGTGTGCCTGACCCGGCTTCTGATGGCAGCCGCCTTTCCCGTGTGCTACCCGCTGGGCCGCCTGCTGGACTGGGCGCTGCGCCAGGAGATAAGCACCTTCTACACGCGGGAGAAGCTGCTGGAGACGTTGCGGGCCGCAGACCCCTACAGCGACCTGGTGAAGGAGGAGCTCAACATCATACAGGGTGCCCTGGAGCTGCGCACCAAAGTGGTGGAGGAGGTGCTGACCCCCCTGGGAGACTGCTTCATGCTGCGCTCAGACGCGGTGCTCGATTTCGCCACTGTCTCCGAGATCCTGCGCAGCGGCTACACTCGCATCCCAGTGTATGAGGGCGACCAGCGGCACAACATTGTGGACATTTTATTTGTCAAGGACTTGGCCTTCGTGGACCCCGACGACTGCACCCCGCTCCTCACTGTCACCCGCTTCTACAACCGGCCCCTGCATTGTGTTTTCAATGACACCCGACTGGACACGGTACTGGAGGAGTTTAAGAAGGGTGAGCAGGAGTCTATCTTCTCCCCCAACTCCTATCCCCTTCAAAGGTTTTATCCTTTCCTAACCACGTGAGGCTCTAGGTACCCAAAGCAATTTCTCTCCTATGGTACCAAAAACCCAAGGAAGACTCTACCTCTTGGCTCCCTGGCTATTTTCATCTCACTTCTACCTCACTTCTTGCTCCTGATTGAGCCCCAGGCCTCTTCCCCTCTACTTGACTCACAAGATGCAACATATTCCTTATTTATTCCATTCCACCAGTGTTTTTCCAACGCCTACCAAGTGTCAGATACTGTGTAGGTCGGAGATAGCCCTTGAAGGTCATTGCATAGCTCCCCACCTATTACAGGAGGCACCTCTACAGGTTCCCATACAAGCAGCCTTTGCTTTAAACTCCCAGGGCTGAAAGCTATTTACAGAGCAAACTAGTCCCATTGCTGGACAGCTCCAGTGGCTGACAATGTCTTCCCCATATAGAGCAGAAATTTGTGTCTCCAAATCCTCCTAACTCTTCTGCCTTTTGAATCATGTAAACTAAACCCAAACACCTTAGACATTCTTCCCCATATTTAACTTCCCATCAGGTATTGGCTGCACACATATCAAGTACTCAGGTTCAGGGCCTGGTGCGGTGGCTCATGCTTGTAATCCCAGCACTTTGGGAAGCTCAGGCGGGAGGATTGCTTGAGCCCAAGAGTTCAAAGCTGCAGTGAGCTGTAATCCCACCACTGTACAAAAGAACAAGACGCTGTCTTTGAGGGGGGAGGGAAGTACTCAGATTGGGGGTTAAAAGTTGACTAAGGCAGTAGGATCCTTGTAATTCTGGGAACTGTGGTCCTGTGAAATAGGATAGATCTGAACCTGAAGAAATATTCTGGGTAGAGGAGATCCTAGAAAACTTGCATACCCAAATGAGTGGGGTTTCCTTCAGTGCAGTCACCATCCTCCAACCCTCCTCCCCAAACTCAGGCTTGATGTCATGCTTATAACTTGTTTACTTCATGTCTGAGTTTGTCTTCAGAAAGTGCCTTCTGGTGACTATAAATTCACTCAAGAAAAATCAGCCTGGGTACATTAGAGTCACTCTTCTTGGCATTACACAGTTTGACTGCCCTCCTAGTTCACCAGATTTCACCCAGAACCCTTGACTGTTTTTTAAAATCAAATCTACTTTCAAGAATCAACATTGAGACCATTCAAAAGACTATCTCACAAACCCTGAAAGCAACTCCAGACATCATAATTTGAAAACAGGGACACAATTAGAATAAATGTAGAACTTTCCAGAATGACTCCTCTGAAGGAGGCACTCATCTGATATGAGTTGGAATGTTCATTAAAAACAAAAACCAAAAAAAATCAATCCCTTGACTTCAGATTCAGGCTTCAGATCTAGCTTCCTTGTGGCTAGCAGTACTCTCATTTGACTGCATTTTGTATAAATTTTTTTGTCAAAAATGTAATCCATGATAATTTGAGCCCAAGGCTGCAGTGAGCTATGATTATGCCACTGAACTGTAGCCTGGATTACAGAGCAAGACCCTGTCTCAAAAAAGAAAGAAAGAAAGCGAGAAAGAGAGAAAGGATGGAAGGAAAGAAGGAAGGAAGGAAGGAAGGAAGGAGGAGGAAGAGGGAGGAGGAGGAGGAGAAGGAAGGAAGGAAGGAAGGAAGGAAGGAAAGAAGGAAGGAAGGAAAAGGAAAAATTCAATCTCACTACTTTAACATCATAAATAATCTTTAGAACTTTGAATACAAACAAATCTGGGGTCTTGTTCCTGCCACAATATTTTGAAATCATATTAAATATTAAAATGTAGCCTGGGAGGGGGGAAAAGGTCTAAAAGCTACTTTCAGTCTCAGATTTGAGAGAACAGCCCTAGACTTTGTGTTGATATGATGAAAAGGGAGAGAAATGTATATATGGCAGCTATTTTAGTCCATTTTCGGCTGCTGTTTCACCCTGTTCAGTCCATCTCACCTTAATCCTTGCGTTCATAGCTCCCACTGCAACTTGAGGTTCATCTATCCACTCTTAGAATTGTGCTGATATTTTGTGTGTCTTAGAGAAGTAGGATCTTAGATCTGGGCATTGGGGGGCATAAACCACAGAAATTTATTTTGTCAAAGATCTGGAGGCTAGCAGTCTGAGATCAAGGTGTCTGGGCAGGTTTGATTTCTTCTGAGGCATCTCTCCTTGGCTTGCAGTCACCACCTTCTGTGTCCTGACATGGTATTTCCTCTGTATGCATGCATCCCTGGTGTCTCCTTGTGTGACCAAATTTTCTCTTCTAGCAGGGACACCAGTCAGATTGGATTAGGCCCACCCTACTGGCCTCATTTTAACTCAGTCACCTCTTAAAAGTGATAGTTAAGACACAGAGCAGTGTGTCATTGTCATATGCTGGCAGAAGATATTTTAAATGAAACTCCTATGAACTCATTCATTCACTTGTTTAGGTTTTTTTGTTTGTTTTTTTGTTGTTGTTGTTGTTCGTTTGTTTGAGACAGAGTTTCACTTTGTCGCCCAGGCTGGAATGCAGTGGCGCCATCTCGGCTCACTGCAACCTCTGTCTCCTGGGTTCAAGCAATTCTTCTGCCTCAGCCTCCCAAGTAGCTGTGAGTACAGGAGTACAGCACCAAGCCTGGCTAATTTTTGTATTTTTAGTGGAGAGCCACTGCACCCAGCCTCATTTAGTACTAATTTTTAAACATCTGTACAGTTTTAGGCAACAGGGGAGACAAGAAGACTGTCCTCAGGAGGTTAGCAATATACAGGGCATAATGAGCAGTGTTTTGAAGTAGGAATTGTCATATCAACTCTTATATCCCCAGCACCTTACACAGTGCCTTGTACATAGTAAGCTGTTCCAAAAAGTTGATATTGATCTGAAATGAATCCCTGTTCAGAGTTTCTAAACGTGGTCTGAAAAAAGTTCCTTTAGTGTTCTATTAATGACTACTTTGTTTTTACGTAGATCACTAAAGAGAAGCAAGCCATTATAGAGAATACTATGCCAAGGAAGACATTTCCACTTCCTTTCATAGCCTTGCTACTTCCTCAAAGTAAGGTCCATGAAAGAGCAGCATGAGTCTCACCTGGGAACATATTAGAAATGCAGAATTTTATGCCTTACCCTAAATCCACTGAATGAAAATCTGCATTCTAGCAAGCCTCCAGGTGGCTCCTATGTGACATTAAAGTTTGAGAAGCATTGCCTTCAGAGACCCCTTATTAGCAGTGTTTGGTAGATCTGCTTAGGATAGAATATGAGACATAATGAAGAAGGTGGATGTCCTCAGGCTGCAAGCCGTATAACATAGTGGTCATTTTCTTTAGGAGTTATACATTTGCACCATAGGTTAGGAGATGAAAGCTGGGTTGAACTGCTTTTCTTTGCCTTTAAAAATAACTTTTTTGGCTGGGCACGGTGGCTCACGCCTGTAATCCCAGCACTTTGGGAGGCCGAAGTGGGTGGATCACCTGAGGTCAGGAGTTGGTGACCAGCCTGGCCAACATGGTGAAACTTCATCTCTACTAAAAATACAAAAATTAGCCAGGTGTGGTGGCACACACCTGTAATCCCAGTTAATTGGGAGGCTGAGACAGGAGAATTGCTGAGATAGGAGGCGGAGGTTGCAGTGAGCCGAGATTGCACCACTGTACTCCAGCCTGGGTGACAGACCAAGACTCTGTCTCAAAATAAATAAATAATTAATTTAAAAATAATTTTTAAAGCAGGTCTTTAATAGCTCTTCCATTTTTCTTACTTCCTTGCATCTCAAGTAACTTAACCACCAACGAATCCCTTAGAAGGTAGAAGAATGATATTAATAGAAGCCACAGTTACCATTAATTGAGCACTATCAGTTCTTCCAGGCACCATGCCAGGCCCTTTACATACTCAGAACAACCCTCCTGGGTAGATGTTATTAACCCCATTTTACAGTTGAAGAAACTAAAGCTTGGATCAATAACATGACTTGTACAACTTTCCATAACTAATAACTGACTGAATTGTGATGTGAACTACATCTGTAGGACCCCAAAGCCTGTTCTTTCCCTGCTTCACCGATCTTATTCCTTCCTCCATCCTGGAATGCCTGCCACCCACAGGGTTCAAAGGTAGCTTTTTCACCTCTGATTGCTGCCCATGGCTGATTCACCTCCAGTTTCTGGAGGTCAGTGATGTAGCTTTATAATTACAGTAATTGCTAACATGCATATTGCGCTTGACAGAACATTTCTATATACCTTCTCTTGTCCAATCTTAAACAACTCTGCAGTTACAGGTGATGATATGGGATTTTATCTTTTTACTTCTTACGAGTTGCAAGTCTTTAGCAGTGGGGAAGAGGAAAATGGTTTTTCACACTAGAGTGCTAGGTTTACAAAAGGGAACAATATTTCTCCCCACTGAACTGTAAGTTCATTGAGGGCAGAGAATGAATCTTATTTACTTTGTATTATCAGGGCAAGTACAGTGACCACCATGGCTAGGGGATGTATAAACATTTATTGAATAAATGGTTTTAAATACCTAACTTCTATATTTCTATGTTTGAGTGAGGTGACCTCTAAGTACAGAATAGTTAATGTTGTTCCTTAATCCCAGCAAATCTCTCCTCTTCCTCTTCATGGGCCTCTATCCCCAATAAGTGGCATCACTTGTGCCTTTAGTCACCCAGGCTAGAACGCTCTCCTTTGCATTCACCTCATCCTATTAATCATTGTCTTAGTGTGCATAGGCTGTCATCACAAAATAGCATAGACTGGTGACTTAAACAACAGAAATTTGTTTTCTCACAATTCGAGGCTTCAAAGCCAAGACCAAGGTTCTGGCCAACTCAGTTTCTGGTAAGGACGCTCTTCCTGGCTTGCAGATAGATGGGTGCCTTCTCTCCGTGGCCTTTCCTCAATGCATGCCCACAGAGAGCAAGAGGTTCTGGTCCTCCCTTCTTAGAAAGACACCAGTCCTGTTGGATTAGGGCCCACCCTTATGC